CACTGAGGTTCCTGTACCATTCCTGCAGTACTCAGGATCAGGCGCGGGCATTTGGCATTCAGCCATTTGAACCGTCTCTTCTACCTTTTATTTATTTTGATTTTGGGTATACACCTGGTGGTTACTCATGGCTCTGCACCCAGGATCACTCCTGGTGGGCTTGAGGGACCATATGGGATGCTGGGGACTGAATTTGGTCAGCCACATTTCAAGGCAAGTACTCTACTCTCTGTACTATCTCTGTAGCTCCTTAAGGGTATGTTTTGTATGAAGAAGGACCTGGTTCCATTCCTGGCACTGCATGGTTATCAGAGCACATTCAGAGGGGCTTCTGAGCAAGGAAAATCCCCCAAATCCTCCAAAAAAGTGATGATTTGGCTCTCAGTTAATACAGAACTTTAAGGAGTAGGATGAGGGGGCCAGATTGACAGTCCAGTGGGAAGAGTGTTTGCCTTGCGCACAGTTGACCCAGGTTCGATCCTCAGCATCCCATATGGTCCCCCAACTGCCAGGAGTGATTCCTGAGTGCAGAGCCAGGAGTAACTCCTGAGTATTGCCAGGTGTGGCCTTCTCCCCTCCCCCAAAAAGGCAGAAGTTTAACAACATATTTTTTTTGTGGGGGGTCACAACCAGTGGTACTCAGGGCTCATGGAAACATATCAGGGCTAATAGAACCATATGGGGTTCCAGGGTTCAAACATGGCTGGGTCAGCTACATGCAAGGCAAATGCCCTACCCACTGCAGTAGGCCTCAAGAACACCTTTTTTAACGGGTGGGTGGGGGTGATGGTGTTTGGTGTGTTATTTTTTCCCTGTGGTGTTAGGGACCATGTCCTGCTGGGGATCCAACCCATACCTCCAGCATGTAAAGCCTGAACTAGTCTATTAAGCTCTATCCCTGGTCCTTAAGGACATCTTTGTACTGAAAATGACCCCAGGCCACACACCCACACTGTACCAGTCAGTGGAGAATGTGTAGTGGGGCCATCCTAGATCTACAGAAAATCTCATCTCCTCTAAAGAACACACTGTCTTGAACTCTTTTTCTGAGATTATTTTGTACCTGTGATATGTTTATTGTTCCATTCTGTTCATTGGCTGTGATTTCTCACCTTTCCACATCATGAATATGCATGAGATTCCTGAAAAACTACTAGAATATGTATGAGCTGTTATGCTATCCCAGACTTGTTCTCTAACTTGTGCTGATAGATGGTCTTCCCAAGTTGTTTTCATGCCAGTAAAGAGCCTCTTAAGAAAAAGAAAATCGGGCACAGCAGGTAGGGTGTTTGCCAGTCACATCGCTGACCCGGATGCTTTTTCTAGCACCTCATATGGCCCCCTAAGCCCACCAGGAGTGATCCCAGAATGGTGCAAAGTCAAGATTAAGCCCCAAGGGGCTGGAGCTATAGTACAAGGGGTAATGGCATTTACATTGCACAAGACTTACCTGGGTTCGGTCTCCAGTTCTCCAGTACCCTTGAGTCCACCAGGAGTGATACCTCCCAGAGCACAGAGCTAGGAGTAAGCCTGGAATACCACTAATTCATTGGGAGTGAGGTCCTCAGGTCTTCTGGTGATTTAGCACCACACGTAGTATTCAGCTTTACGTGGCCCCTGTCTTTGAGCTAGTCTGCATCTACCAGGCTGTCATCTTGCATGGTGATGCGGTGACCGTGCAGGGGATAAATCAATAGTCTCACTAAAGTCATCAGGGTGCATGGGAAGCCTCTGGCCTGGCTTGTTTGCAAAGGCCCTGGCCAATATCAACACCCAGAGTCACAGCTGCAGGGTGTGCTCCTGCCTGTCTATTCCCACTGTTCCAGATGCAGAGAAAGTAGAAGCAGGGAGAATATGAGGAGTGTGATGATGACATGGATTTTGGTCTTCTTGATGAAACTTTTTCTGTAACATGTTCTATAAAAAGCTGATCTTAATAAAAGACAAAAGCAAAGCTTTCCCTAAATAAGCTATAAACCAAGTGTTCTTTTTTAAATTTATTTTTCTTTATTTTTCTTTTTTGCTTTTTGGGTCACACCTGGCAATGCACAGGGGTTACTTCTGGCTCTGCACTCAGGAGTTACTCCTGGCAGTGCTCAGGGGACCATATGGGATGCTGGGAATCGAACCCGGGTCGGCCACATGCAAGGCAAACGCCCTACCTGCTGTGCTATCTCTCCAGCCCTGTTCTTTTTTTTTTTTAAAACAAAACAAAACAAAACAAACAAAACCCCAAAACCCAGTGCCAGAGAGACAATATAGAAGGCAGGTGCTTGTTCTGCATGCAGCTCATCCAATTTCGATTCCTGGTACCCCATATGGTACCCCGAGTCTGTCAGGAGAGACAGCCAAGATAGGAATAAGCCCTGAGTGTGCCAGATGTGGGCCCAAAATAAAAACAAAGAAAGTCCAAACCAACCCTTCTCAAACAAAACGCTAAGTATTTGTGCACCAAGTACTTGTGCAGTGCTTAAGGAAGCAAATTTGCAACACTTAGGTGTGAAATTTCTGGTTAAATTACAGTATGTTTGGGGCTGGAGGGATGGTTCAAGAACAGAATGCAAAGCATGTGGGAGCTCCAAATTGATCCCCAGCACTGTGTGGCCCCCCCATGAACTTGCTCAAAACTCCTCTGAGTGGGGCTGGAGCAATAGCACAGCGGGTAGGGCGTTTGCCTTGTACACGGCCAACCCGGGTTCGATTCCCAGCATCCCATATGGTCCCCTGAGCACCACCAGGAGTAATTCCTGAGCGCAGAGCCAGTAGTAACCCCTGTGCATTGCCAGGTGTGACCCAAAAAGCAAAAAAAAAAAAAAAAAAAAAAAAAAACCCAAACAAACTCCTCTGAGCAAGGATCTGTAAGCAGTCCCCAAACACTGCTAGTTGTAGCCCTAAAACAAAACAAAATTAAGAAAAAAACCCTCTACCAAACAAACCAGACTAGTGTTCTAGTTTATTTTAAAATTATTTAAATAATTTGTATGATTATTTGTATGATTATTTATGCATTATATATAATATTTTTCATATAATATATATATGCCTCTCAGAGAGCCCGGCAAGCTACCAAGAGTATCCTGCCTGCATGGGCAGAGAGCCTGACAAACTCCCCGTGGCATATTCGATATGCCAAAAACAGTGACGATAGCAGGTCTCATTCCCCTGACAGGTCTCATTCCCCTGACCCTGAAAGAGCCTCCAGTCATTGGGAAAGACAAGTAAGGAGAGGCTGCTAAAATTTCAGGCTGGGAGGAATAGAGATGTTACTGGTGCCCGCTCAAGTAACTGGATGACAATGATATATGTTATATATTTTTACAAATTATATATAATGTATATATATAATTTGTATGATTATTTAAGCCTTAGCCGCTGTGCTATCTCTCCAGCCTATTTAAGTATATAATAATTATTTAAATATCACCAAAAAGTTACTTTTGCAGTGCCAGGGATTGAACTCAGGGCCTCACACACGCAAGAAAAATGTTCTACTACTGAGGTACATCCCTGGCTTACTGGGCACTTGGAAACCTTGAGACTTGGCTTCAACATTTTCCTTTAGGGGAAACTTACAATCTGTCCCACAAGTTCTTAGGACATGTCAAGCTAGGAAATTCAGCAGGGAAAACAGAATGCAGGGCATGCTTTGCATGCAGGCCAGGTTCAATTCAAGCAGCACCCCAGGGTTCCCAGAGTATTTCTAGAAGTGACCTCCAAACACCCAGGGGGAGTAGCCCCAGATGACCTAACAGCTGTGTTCTCCATACCAAAACCAACATCCTCCAAGCCCGCAGTCACAAGTGTGTGCGAAAGACAAATGTAAAAAATCACATAAGCTCTTATCGGTGAGAAGAAAATCATACTTGGTGGATTAAAAGGGAAATAAGGGGAGTGGGGGCTGAGAGATAACACAGCGGGTAAAGCGTCTACCAGGGTTAGATCCCCATACCCTCAGGGGTTCCCCCAACCTGTCAGGGAGTGAGCCCTGAGTGAAGAGCCTGCAGAAAGCCCTGAGCACAGCAGGAGGGGTCCCAAAACAAAACCTAAAGGCCTGGCTGGGCTGGAGCAATAGCACAGCGGGTAGGGCATTTGCCTTGCACGTGCCCGATCCGGGTTAGATTTCCAGCATCCCGTAGGGTCCCCCAAGCACCGCCAGGAGTAACTCCTGAGTGCATGAGCCAGGAGTAACCCCTGTGCATCGCTGGGTGTGACCCAAAAAGCAAAAAAAAAAAAAAAAATCCTGGCATGTGGGTCAGGGCATGGTTTACATGCTGGAGACTGGCTTCCAGCCTCAGCACAGCATAAACAACAGTAAGGCGGGCGGAGGGAGGCGGGGGGCGGGGAAGAGAGATAGTAGCACGGGCAGGGCCTTTGCCTTGCACGCGGCCGTCTAGGTGTCAATCCTCGGCATCCCATAGGGTTCCCCGAGCACCGCCGGGTGTTAAGCCCCAAGCATCGCCGGATGTTCCCCCCTGTGCGCCCCCCGAAATTGAGCCACGTTGGCAAAGGCATGCAGACTGCAGCCGGGGCTTCCCTTCTTGCCTCGCACCCTCCTCAGACACCAGGAGGCACCGCCGACCTTGCCTTGACTCAAACATCAGGGTGCGATGGAGTGAGTGGTCACCAAGACAAGGTCTGGCAGGGCACTCCCAGAACCCACGTCTAGGTGGCGGGAAGAACCCGTGGTCTCTAGGACCCAGCGCCCCAGCACCAGCAGGCGGCCTTGCCCACCGGATCCGGCTTTTTCTCCGACTCGGAAACGCTACGCCTTTTCCCGCCGCCTCCGGCTCCCGTCCAATGGGCGTCCCGCGGGCCGGCTGCGCCCCGCCCCCGCCGCCCCGCCCCGCCCCCTAGCGGCGCAGCGCGGTCGGTGCGGCTCCTGGGCGCGCTGGCGGCGCTGCGCATGCGCTCAGGCTCCGTGGGCCCTCCCGGGAGGAGGAGGAGGAGGAGGAGGCGGAGGAGGGGGAGGAGAAGAGGGAGGAGGAGGAGGAGCGAGCCGGCCGGGCCTGGGCGGCCGCCCAGCGCCGGGCTCGGGTGAAAGGGCGGCGGCGCGGTGGGCGGGGCCGAGCGGCTGCGGAGGGGCCTTGCAGCGGCGGCCGCGGTGGGTGCTGCGAGCTCGCTCGCGTAGCGGCGTCGGCGCCGCGCCGGGGTCTCCAGCATGTCGGAGCTGAGGCAGAGGGGGGCGCGCGACCCGGACGCCCCGCCCGAGGACAAGGTACCCGGGAACGGGCGGGCTGGGCGGGGGGGCGTGCGCTCCAGGGGGTCCCCGCGCCCGCGGACCCTTTGTCGCCGCCGCCCGCGGGCGACGCCGGGAGGCCCGGAGAGCGCGCGGCGTCGGGGTGGGGGGCGCCAGGGGCGGGGGTCTGCAGGTTGCAGGTCGGGGGCTGGCTCCGGAGAGGCGACCCCCGGGGGTCGCGCACGGCCGCCGGCCTCGCGGCGTCCACCTCCAGGGCCCCCCCCTCCCCCGCCCCGGCATCCCCAAGACCCTCCTGGGAGCAGAGGAGACTCGGCGGCCCTGCAGACCCTCGCCCCTCCTCCCCCCCTCCGCTTCCGACCCGCGCCTCCACTTTCCGCTCCCTTGGCACAACTTTAATCCGGGGAGGGGGGGCCGCGGGGTCATAAACCGGCCTCGGCGGGGGGGCTGCGAGCCTCCCCCACCCCCTCCCCCGGGTGCAGGGTCACCTGCGTCGCGGCGGCCCCGGAGGCCTGGACCCGGCCTGCCCCCCGCAGCAGGTGTTGCAGAGTCGCCTCCGGGGCGCGCGCAGGGATGGATGGGGTGAAAAAGGAAAAAAAAAATCGGGGCCATTTTGGCGGGGACGCAGCGGGTGGCGGGGTGAGGGATGGGGTTGCAAGGGCCAGCTGTGTTCCTGGGGGTGGAGGGAGAGAGGGGGGATGTAGGGCGGGGGGGGGGCTCGCCCCCAGCTGCCCGCGGTCTGGAGCTGGGGATGGGGGAACTGACCCGAGCATCGCGTGGTGCGTGATGGACTGCAGGGAGCCCAGGGAAGCCCGGACCCGGAGCCCGGACAGTGCCCGCCGGCCACTGGCGCTTTGCTAGGGTGCACACGGAGCTCGGAGACCCACAAGCATTTCAACTTACCACGTCCGAATGGCTCGCCCCTTTTGGAGAATCGGAAGCGCGGCTTTCCAGCGCCTACCTGTGTGTCCCTCTGGCGGGGCCCAGGACCAGTCTCAGGGGCCCCAAACGCAGCACTCCTTGGCGCACCTTGCCAGGGTTTGGGGTCTGGAGAAATGAGGATGAGACTTCGTGAGAGGCGCCAGGAAGGCTAGCAAGCAAGCAAGGGAATTGGGTGACAGCAGTTAGGCTAGAAGAGATAATTTGGGTGAGATATTGAGGTTTGAAACCGCTTTTTTTTTTTTTTTGTTCTTGCTCTTGCTATTGACAGTGGTACCTCCAGGGAGGACTCTCATAACTCTCATACTGATTTTTAGTATGTATTTTGAGAAAATTGAGAGCTTTTGGATGCAAGTCTTTTTCTTTTGGGGGGTGAAACACGCAGTGGTGCTCAGGGTTTACTCCTTGCTCTGTGCCCAGAGATCACTCCTGGGGGGGTGCTCAGAGGGCCATTTGGGGTGTGGGGGATCAAACCCTGTTCTGTGTGCCTACCTGCTTTACTAGCTCTTGAGCTTCTGGATGCAAGTTTTGGAACGGTCTAGGTTCTTTGAAGACTTTAAAGTCTGATCTTCCTGGTTTTTATTTGTTTTGGACCACAGGCTGCTGCTGTACCTAGGGCTTACTCCTGACTCTTCTCAGGGATCACTTATTACGGGGCTTGGGGGACCACACATGGTGCCAGGATGGAACCGGGTTGGCTGCATGCAAGGCAAGGGGCCTTTCCTGTGGTAATCTCTTTCTCGCGCCTCTAATCTTTTTTTTTATTAAATATTTTAACCTCACATAAAGAGAATCCTGCCCAGACTTTATACACGTGTTGGTGAGCAGAGGTTTGGAGGCTGTGTAGTAGCCATTTTGGAGGGCGAAGATACTGGGACTTTAGAATTCTAGGAGGCGTGAGAAGAGAGAAAAAAAAGAGATGATATGTCTGATGAGCCTTATATATTTAACTGGTTAAAACAAGTTACGGGGGGCTGAGGGGAGTCACTTCTCATCGTCGCCACTGAAAATCCTTGGATCCATCTTCCGTGGAAACATTCTCTGTTGCTTTTATTTATTTATTTATTATTTTTTATTTTTTTTTGCTTTTTGGGTCACACCCGGCAATGCACAGGAGTTATTCCTGGCTCTGCACTCAGGAATTACCCCTGGCGGTGCTCAGGGGACCGTATGGGATGCTGGGAATCGAACCTGGGTCGGCCGCATGCAAGGCAAACGCCCTACCCGCTGTGCTATCACTCCAGCCCCTCTGTTGCTTTTAATTATTATCTTTGTTGTTGTTGTTTTCTGGTCTATACCCTGTGGTGCTCAGGGCTTGCTACTGCTGGCTCTGTGCTCAAGGAGTTACTCCAGACAGGGCTTCCCTGGAGCGGGGTACCAGGTGGGGTGCTAGGGATCTAACCTCGGGTGTTTGCGTGTAAGGCAATTGCCTTACCCACTGTACTATTTTTCCAGCCCCTGTTGCTTTATTTATTTATTTATTTATTTATTTATTTTTAACATGCTTTAATCACCTAATTAAGAATACATTTCAACCATACCTGATAATAAGAAGCCCCCATTGCTTTTTAAATTTTGATTTTGGAGCCATATCTAGTGATGCTTAGGGACTGCTATGAACTCTGTACTCAGGGGACCCGGAGGTGCCGGGAATCGAACCGGGGCCTCCTGCGTGCAAAGCTTGCTCTCTGGTTGTGCCAGAGGTGGTTGCTGCCTTAAATGCTTTCTCCTCTGTGCTTCAGACAGGGACAACATAAGGAGCTGTCCAGCCGAGGCTGCCATAGTTTCTTACAGGCCGCACTTAGACCGTATATACTCATCTGTGGCTTGGGGCTTTTGAGGTCATCCATTAAGCACATGTTACTCTCCAGCCCGGTATTTCTCACCCGTTTTCCAACCACAGCTGCCTTCCGACTTTGTTTCCTTCCTGTGCTCCCACTCTGACCAGTAGGTCCCCTAGCCTCGTGCTGTGACCACTCCGTTAGTGAAGATTTTTGTCTCTGGCTCCCTTGGACTGTTCTGGGGGCCTTCAGAGGGCCCTGGCTGGGGAATGCTGCCCTAAAGCCCAGGAGCTGTTGCATTCTATTTAACTCTGTCCATTAGCCTAGAACAAGCTAATCACCTCTTCACCTCATCACTGAGTTTTCCTCAATTGTAGTTGTTTGGGATTTTAAAAAAACATGTTTTAAGAATCGTAAAATGCTCTCTTTTGACAATTGTATTTGGTAGAATTCTTTAAAATTTTTGATTTTTTTCATAATCTGAAGTATTTATAGCTTTGAATTTGTTTACCGTGGGCTAGAACAAGATAAATTAGAAGTAATAAAACAATAATGTCTTTAAAAAAGTGTGAAATTTCTCATTCTTTAGAATTCGGAAACAGTATTAGATCATTTTATAAGAGGATCTGGGGAGAAAAATTAAGATTCTTTTTTGTGTGTGTGTGAAGCAAGGCAGTTTTTATTGAAACTTATTTAGAAAGATATGGGGGGGGGAAGGGAGAAGTACACATTGGAGAGAGAAATAATTTCTTCTCCAGAGTGGAAATAAAGAAGCAAAGAAACAGAAAAGTAAGCAAGATAAGCATTCACAGAAGAGCACAAAAAAATTACCATTCTAAGATGTTATAGTTGATTGAGTGCTGTGGTGACTTGCTTTATTAAGAATAAATAAGCAGACAGTTGTTACTTTCAAAATAATCCGGAGAATGTGTTTATTCTAAAACTCAGAAGGTATTTTGTTATATTTAGCATCCTAGAGTGGAATTTTCAAAGCCAATTCCTAATAAAGGAAACGTTTTCCTCTGGGAGTCATGCTTATAATTTTAAGGTCCCAAAGCACAGTGTTGATGCCAAACTAAGAAATCAGGAATTTAAGCTTAGGGAATGATCTTCTCGGCCAGCCATGTTTTTCCAATTTTTTTTCCCCCAATGTTTTTTTCATTTGTTTTTTGTTTTGGGGCCACACCTTGTAGTGCTCAGGGCTTACTCCTGACTATGAGCTCAGGGAACACTCCTGGCAGGGTCCAGGGACTGTATATGGGGTGCTGAGGATGGAACCCCTCTGGGCCGCGGGTCAGGCATACGCCCTACCCATGGTGCTATCGCTCCTGGCCCTTCCAGTGGCATGTATGAAAGGAGAGGATAAGAGATGGGCCAGGAGATAGCCACCTCAAACATCATGACCCGGGATTCAGGCCATCAGTGTACTGTGAAGGTTCTCGCGGTTTTCTCATGTCTCCGAGGTGCTCTTTAGACCTGTTTACTTGTCTCAAGTCTTCCTTTCTTCATCCGTGAAAGCAGAATGGAGGAAACAGTGACATCATTTTAAAAGGCAGTTTACATTTTAACTGGAGACAGTGGTTAAGAGCAGGGCCTTAGGATGAGTCATTGAGACCCAGTTTTTTTTTTCTCTTTTCTTTTTTGGGGGGAGGGGAATGGGGTGGGGCTCACACCTAGCAATACTTAGGGGTTTCTCCTGGTTTTGCACTCAGGAATCAGTCCTGATGGAACCCCGGGGACTGTAAGGGATTCATTCCTCCATCTAACCAGGTTGGTCATCTGGATTTGTTGTTCTTTTCCCACATACTTGAAAAACGATAATTATGAATGCATCTAGGGCACTTCTGAAATGACTAGTCAATAATTTGACAGTGCAGAGAATTCCCTTTTAACTGACAACATGAGTGTGTTTCTGGTTTTTGTTTGTTTTGTTTTGGGGCCATACCCGATAGCACAGTGGGTAGGGCGTTTACCTTGCACGCGACCTACCCAGGTTTGATGCCTCCGTCCCTCTCAGAGAGCCGGGCAAGCTACCAAGACGGCAGAGCCTGACAAACTCCTCGTGGTGTATTCGATATGCCAAAAACAGTAACAACAAGTCTCACAATGGAGACATTACTGGTGCCTGCTCGAGCAAATCGATGAACAGCGAGAGGACAGTGCTACAGTACTACCCGATAATAAACTCAAGGCTTGCTTCCAGTGGTGCTTGGGGATGTCGGCAGTAGCGGGTATCAAACCGGCCATATATGAGGCAAACCCCTTCCTCTCTGTTACTTCTCCAGCTTGCAGCGGTGTTTG